GAGGAGGCGTGGCCAGGGCCGAGGGAGAAGCGGCCCGGCCGTCGGAGGCTGCGGTGCTGCTCCAAGAAGCGGGTGGAGGAAACAGACAGCGATCGGCGCTGCCGAAGCGGCGGAAGTCCACTCGCCCCCACGCAATTTTCACTCGCCACTTGCGAGGGGGCGAGAAATTTTGAGCCCTGGATGTGAGGATGCTGAAGAAGATTCCAATGCTGCAGGGAGGGGGAGACAGGCTGGAGGGACCCCAGTGACAGCTGGCCGGCTCGGAGCTTTGGGTGACCATAATTTTGTTTAAGCACCTAGACACAAACAAGCACTTAACCCTGCCGGGTAGCCTCACTGCAAGGGTTAATTAAAAAAATCCTGGAGTTCCTTCTTTAATGGGGGCATGAGCTATGGTTGCATATGCACACTGTAGCCCTGGTCCTACAAATTATAATTTCACACATGTGCCCTATATTGGCTTTAAAGGAGAACTATGAGGTGAGTGTTTTTCACTCATGCTCATAGCTATCTACAGGGGCTTTTGCACTCGATTAATCTAAGAAAAACTGGGCGTTACTCCTTACATCTGCTCACTTAAATTGGCTGCATGAGCCTGTATTAATATCATTCAAATATGTGAAGCAGCGCTATCACCCAACAAGTAAACAAATAATATGTGCAAAAACCAAATATTATAGTGAACAATAATATTGGGAGAGAAAAGAAAACACATATATATATAACTGAGCTTCTACGCGTTATGTCTAATTGACTTCATCAGGAAGCTCCCTGATGAAGTCAATTAGACGTAAGGCGTAGAAGCTCCCTGATGAAGTCAATTAGACGTAATGCGTAGAAGCTCAGTCAGTGACGTTAGAACGCCTGGAGGAAAAGAGGAGGACAGATCTAACATCCAGGAATGAGATTCTGATACGCGATTTTATTCATTTTATATGAGTGTATTTTTTTTAAATAAAATCATTTCATGCATACGTGGTGCGCTATGATTTCCACTTCTGTCTTTGAGAGATCTTTTTTGGGCTGTCGGTAGAGTAGAAAACCGTTAAGATCAGGATTAGTCTCATCTGAAGGAAGGAAGATCACAGCTACAAACAGTGTGAGGAAGGAGTTTTACCCTACAAGAAGAGCTTTGAGACCCAAGGGTCTGAACACGGAGGTTAGAGGCTTATTTAACAGAGCACTGGCTTTTTATGTGCACTTCAGCAAAAAGTACACACAAGAAATTACAAGAGTGTGCAGAGTGACGCACAAAGAAAAACTAAGACAACACTTTTTTTTTTGAGAGAGAGCTGCCTGCTTTTAATGAATTTATGAACACTTTGTTTCAAATTATGTGTTTTATACACATGAAGCCAGTGGATGTAGTGTATCTTGATTTTGCAAAAGCATTTGATCTAGTACCCCATAAATGTTTCATTTACAAGCTTCAATCTTCGGGCATTGATGAAATGGTGTGTACTTGGATAGAGAACTGGCAAAGTGAACATGTCCAAGGAGTATCAATAAATGGCTAATTTTCTAATAACAATATTTCAGTTTTTGCTAATGATACCAAAATTTGTGGGATAATAAACTCAATAGAAGATAAAACAATATTACATGAGGACCTGGATAAAATAGGGGGGTGGGCTTCAGCATAGCAGATGAGGTTTAATATTGAGAAGTGTATAGTTATACATTTTGGAGTTAAAAATACACATGCAATCTACTCATTACTGGGCATCCTACTGGGGGAATCAGAGGTGGAAAAAATTTGGGTGTCCTAGTGGACAAGAGCCTTAGTAACAGCATGTAATGCCAGACTGCAGCAAATAAAGCAAGCAGGGTACTATTATGCATAAAAAAGGGAAAGACAAATCTATAATTCTGTCCCTGTACAAAACACTGGTCTGGCCTCATCTCGAGTATGCAGTTCAGTTTTGGTCACCGATCCACAGAAAAGATGTTCTTGAGCTGGAGAGAGTCCAGAAAAGGATGACAAAGCTAATAAAGAAGTTAGAGGACCTAAACTATGAGGAAAGACTGCATGCAATAAACTTGTTTACTCTTGAGGAGACTGAGAGGGGACATGATATTAATGTACAAATTGTTTAATGGTGATGGGATAATCAGTGATAAACTGTTTACTGTTAGTTCACTCAAGAACACAAGAGGCTACCACCTGAAACTGGAAGAGAAAAGGTTTAATCTTAGAGGAGATTCTTTACTGTGACAGCTGTAAAATTGTGGAACTCCCTTCCACAGACAGTGGTCTCAGCTGAGCGTATGAAATAATTCAAGACCAATCTCGATGTTTTTCTCAGATAGCAAAACATACAGGTAATCTTAATAACTCAAACACACACACGCACAACTACATGGGTTGAACCTGATGGACTTGAGTCTTTATTCTACCTCATCAACTATGTAAATATGTAACTTTATAAGGAGCTAAACAATCTCCATGCAATAGTCACAATTCTTCTCACACTCTTCCCTCTGCTTGCTTACCATTTTCTACTGCACTCTTTATTGTGTGAGCACTAATGATTGTACACACTGCACAATGTAATAAAATTACTAGAAAGTAGGCAAAAATGTACATCCTTTACCTGTATGTATATAACAGCTCTATTTTCACATATAGAGTTTTTTTTTCTGAAATGTGCTAATTCTGCTAATTTATGCCTTGGCTTAATATATATAATTAAAAAATAAAATAAACTATACTAAATAAAAAAAAAACCAGAATGGTTTGACTATTATAGAGAAGTGGATTCCATATGCTGCTGCATTTTGGTTTTTTTGTCAGGGGTGAAAATTAGTGGATGGTGAAGTTTCAGGAGGATAGTAATGGTTGGTGTCGGATTAGAAGAATAGGATTGGTTTGTGAGGGCATCTCCATAACTGCACTTAAGGCCCTGTCACATGGGGCAGTCTATTCGCATCCACCAGTCAGTTTTCAGGCAGACCTTTTACAGTTTACAGATTAAACAAAAAAGTGATAAAAGATTTGTGTTGGTTCCAAAGAAAGCAAGCCAAACTTACATACCTCACTCTTCAATTTGCTGCCAGAAAACCTTTTGGAAAATAAATATGAAACATTAGACAGTGAGACAGACATACAGCATAAAATGAGATTATGATAGATAAATAGATAGATAGATAGATAGATAGATAGATAGATAGATAGATAGATAGATAGATAGATAGATAGATGTTTCCCCAAAAATAAGACCTACCCCGAAAATAAGACCTAGTACGATTTTTGGGAATTGCTAAAATATAAGACCTACCCTGAAAATAAGACCTAGTTGTGATCATTCCCAGGGCCGGTGGTGGCATAAGTGGGAACTTGAAGAGCGGGGGGAGAGAATCAGCGGTGCCAACAAAGCCAGCGCTAGAGGAAGCGAGGCGGCACTGGAGTGAGCAGATAAGCCGATGCCTCCTCTAAAACCCCACAGGCGGAGTGATACCAAATGCACTCTGCCTGTGAGGAATCGATAGTGAAAGTGCGCTTCGCTCATTCTGGCCAGTGATTGGTTAGCAAATTGCTCTTGGAAAGGTACGGCACCCCTGATTGCCATTGCCCCCTGATCACCATATTTTTGTACATGAATACATGTAAACTTTTCTACATGAATACATGTGGATTTATTTACATAAAAATTTTTTTTTTAAAAATAAGACCTACCCTGAAAATAAGACCTAGTGTGGTTTTTTTTTAGCCAAAAAAAATATAAGACAGTGTCTTACTTTCGGGAAACACGGTAGATAGATAGATAAATAGATAGATAGATAGATAGATAGATAGATAGATAGATAGATAGATAGATAGATAGATAGATAGATAGATAGATAGATAATAGACTGTAGGCGGAGTGATACCAAATGCACTCTGCCTGTGAGGAATCGATAGTGAAAGTGCGCTTCGCTCATTCTGGCCAGTGATTGGTTAGCAAATTGCTCTTGGAAAGGTACGGCACCCCTGATTGCCATTGCCCCCTGATCACCATATTTTTGTACATGAATACATGTAAACTTTTCTACATGAATACATGTGGATTTATTTACATAAAAATTTTTTTTTTAAAAATAAGACCTACCCTGAAAATAAGACCTAGTGTGGTTTTTTTTTAGCCAAAAAAAATATAAGACAGTGTCTTACTTTCGGGAAACACGGTAGATAGATAGATAAATAGATAGATAGATAGATAGATAGATAGATAGATAGATAATAGACTGTACACAGTAGAGAAACAAAAAGTAACTGTTGTAACCAACTGTAGTGTTTACCTAAAAAGACAACAAAAAAAACCCAAGCATATCTCTTTAACACCTTACGTTGAAGTTTTTCTGTGAATTCCTATAGTGTAAATAGGAAAGAAAGATTCCAAGCAGGGAGTAGAAGTGAAAGCAATTTTTAAGCCTCTAATGCTGTCTGGAAAACACTGTAGTTGTGCAAAAGTCACAAACTTTAGTTTATCTTAATCTGAGTTCTCTTTAACTCACTATAGCCAGATTCCAGCAAGTACCCCTCCGTGTCACTAGTGGCATACTTCCTGAAGTTTGTGCTATGTACCTTCCTCTTTCTGTTCCCCTATATCCCTGGTCATATCCAGGATTTCCAATTCAGCTCTAAAACTGACTGGTTGCTGTAAGAATATTCTTAGTACTGATATTTACATTTACGTGTGTGAGACAGCGAGGAGCCTGTAGTGGATGTATTTTCAAACTCCTATTCTGCATTACAAGCATATCAGACCACCAACCCAGACCACCAACTAAAGTGACTTGGGTGTAATAGGGCACTACAGCATTGCCTGAATGAAAAAATACTAAGCTGGTGCTGTGTTTCCTGCATGCTTTTTTTTTTATTTTGTCTGTAATGAATCTTTAACAAACAGCTTTAAAAATACAATAATATAGAAGATGAACATGATGATGAGAAGGATGATAATGTATTGTTCTTAGTATCAGTAATAATACTGATCTGTTTTACAAACATTTCTACCTTGTCAGCCCTTTTCCAGAGTACACTGAATGATAATACGCACTGCTTTCCTTTATGCCAATGCCGTAGTAATGATATCTGTACAAAGAAAAGCAAATTTTTATGATAGCAGAAATAAATCATGGATGGAATATGAAGTTACTTTGACCACAAATATGAAAATTATACTTTTTTACCACTGGACAAATTGTCATTTCTAAAATAAACAATTTTAATCAAATGTGCAAACTTTCAACAAAATTCTGAACTCTAATCCTGAACATAATCCTAAGTACTCATTTAGACAGGTGTGCATGTCCGCACACTGTGCACACCAGGGACTTGCGGTGAGGTCAGTGGCAGGTGAGGCACCCCCCGGCTTGTCGACGCTGCAGGCCCAGTCACCGAGCTATGTGTTCATCTGCTGGTGGCAGCTGTGACCACTGCAACCCTGGTAGTTCCACCACTGTATAGAAGACTACAAATCCCAGCAATACATTATACAGCAATGCAGAATCCCAGCAGTTGTGAGCCCCAATAATAAAGGTGCATGTCCTGGGTGCATCCCTGGAAGAAGAGGGCCCCTGTAACTAACAACATTGCTGGTTATCAGGGCCCTCTTCCTCCTGTTTGGGCCCCCAAGTAGCGGAACACTAGGGCCCTGTCACAGCTGCAACCACTGCAACCCTGGTAGTTCTGTCACTGTTCCAAATTAAAACACAGCGATTTAGACAGGGCCAAGAAAACCCTGGGCAATAAATCAGGATGTTTTAATGGACATGTAGTTAGATTTACTGTTGCAGAAGTCATCACAGTGACACAGTTTTTACAAAAAGCCTGCACACAGAGTGGTCCCCTGAAAGTGTGTGGGAGGAGAGACCGCTCCGTTGTGTGGTATGTGGGAGGAGGGAAGGGAAGAGCCTTCCTGTCACTCACTGCTGTCAGTGAGAGGCATCTAAGATACTGTAGATGCCTCCACTGCAGTATTTTGATTGGACGGCTTGAACCAATGGTGCTTTGCGATTGGTCCAAACCGTCCATAGAGTTCAAGCGCTTTGACAGAAGTCAGAGGCTTCCAAGAGCTCTGCCTTAGGTTAGGTTACAATCAGCATAGCTAGGAAAGCCTCCACGCTGATGTGTTACCTAACCTGGGCTGGACAGAGCACCGATGATGAAGCACAGGAATGTGCTTCATCTTCTGTTTACCCAGCACTTCAGCTTCTGATGCAGGAAACACTGTAAGCAGTGCTTCATGCTTCAGTGATCACAGAGCAGATCAGGGAACAGATGTTCCCCAGTCTATTCCCGCTCTCCACCCTGACACTGTGTGTTGTGGCCCCCCAGAAGAGCAGGGGATCTGAAAACCATGTTGGGGGACAGCGAACCAGATCACTTGTAGTTGACAAGCTGGCCCTGCCTGCCTGACATCATTGGTTGCTAGGAAGCCAGCAGTCCTAGCAACCAATGATTGAAGCAGTGGTGGGCCTGTACTGGGTTATGGCTGGCAGTGGATGCACCGGCATCTGGTGCCAGTTTATTTACTGTCAGCCAGCCAAAACCCAGTGCAGGTCTGCAATCACAGTGTGGACAGGTTAGCCACTTGGTCCGAGTCCGGACTGCAGTCCGTCCATATAGTGACCGCTGCCCTAGGATTACCTCTTTAAACGCTATTTTAGTTTACTGATATTTTTCTAGTTAAGAAAAGAGTATCATTGTGTAAATAGGTTTATGAGATTACTAAGAAAAAATGCATTATTAATAATGTATAGGGAGGATCCCTTGTTTAGATACTAGGCTTGTATCAACAGGCAGCAGAGGTAAACAAGGGATCCTCCCTATACATTATTAATAATGCATTTTTTCTTAGTAATCTCATAAACCTATTTACACAATGATACTCTTTTCTTAACTAGAAAAATATCAGTAAACTAAAATAGCGTTTAAAGAGGTAATCCTAGGGCAGCGGTCACTATATGGACGGACTGCAGTCCGGACTCGGACCAAGTGGCTAACCTGTCCACACTGTGATTGCTGACCTGCACTGGGTCTAAGCCCCGTCTAAGACACTAGGCTTGTATGAACAGGCAGCAGAGGTAAACAAGGGATCCTCCCTATACATTATTAATAATGCATTTTTTCTTAGTAATCTCATAAACCTATTTACACAATGATACTTAGACTCTAAAGGTAAATCTAGCCGTGACCTTTGAACATCTACTATCCTATTTTTCCATTCCTGCTTTTTTTTATAATTTGACTTTAAGATGCTTGGACCCCAATGTCTTTATAATTGAATTCAAATGCATTTCCTAGAGTCTTTACAGAGTATTTCCACTTTTGCATCCAAAATTGAAAAACCCCCCACTATATGTTTGTTATGTGTCCCTATTCACACATTATATCTAAAAAATAATTGTCAAATATATTTCTTATCTTTTAGATGTGTTTGAGTTCCAGACCTTTGCATGCTCCTCTCTCAATTTCAGTAACAGGAAACTCTGATTGTCCTAATAGAAACACTTAGGGCAGGCTGAGCTCCCCCTAAGTAACATACATTGTCCTCAGATCTTTAACCCTTAGTTAGGACAGACAGTCCTGCCCCTCTAGTTTACAAGTGATAATGAAATCTGCCAGCACAGTGAGAACTAAGCAGGATTTTTCAGTCCTGGAATTAGCAGGAAGAGCATCTAATAAAGGGTAAGCTGTTATTTTATTATATTTTTTTTTAAATGTATGCTATGTGAACGGGAACATGTAATAAATATAAAGTAGATAATATCCCAATTTGGCTGCAGAAGTGGAAAAACACTTTTAAAAAATGATAGCACAGGCACCAATGTTTAGTGAAAGGTTAAAATAGGTCATCCATTTTAAACCCTATTAACTTAATACACTTGAATCCATTTAACGTAAAGTATATGGTATAAACATTGTTTGCTTACCCTTTCTACAAACGTTTCACATTGCTCTTACTGCATATCGCTTCAATTTACTCAATTGTTAGTTTTAAAAGAAGGCTGATATTTAATTTTCAGCATTTATGGCTTCTTTATTTGAAAGATACTATACATTTCCTGCAGCATATGTTCACTTTTTGTGTGTGCACCCACAAGAGCTGTCTTTATCATGCACTGCCACAAACAATGGCTGATAAGCAGATTGATATAAGGAAGCTATCTCGAGCCTGCAATAACATGTTATCACAAGGCCAGCTGTCATGTCATTTTTTCAGCATGTTCAATCACATCTCCTAAATAAGGTTCTGCTATTTGCACTTTATCTTTAAAGAGCTAAAAATAATTTACATAAACACAGTAGCTAGATCTCATCTCATTGTTTATGATGGAAGATGAGAGACCTATCTCTCCTTGTTCCAAATATTCCCAGTGCATCCTAAAGCCGACCATACACTGGTCAATTTTTGTATACAACATTCATGTGAAAAATCTCATCAGAACATTCGATAATGCCATCAGACACTTGACGAATGTCATTCAAAATGTTGTTTGATTTTAACATTTGATTTGGAATAAATGGTGTTTCCTGAATGAAAATCAGAATTTTGTTTGCAGGAAAAAAATCTCCCTTCCTGCTTCTTCAATTTTTTTGTCACTGCAGTCTAAATCAATCGTTGATTTGACCTCATCAAAGTTGAGCAAACAATCTGAAAAAAGTTTTTTCAAAACAAAATTCTACTGGTGCATGGCTAGCTTAAAGGAGAACTATGGGATTAGGGCTTTTCCCCATAGTTCTCCTAAAGGTAACGGGAGGACACAAACTAGCGTCCTCCCGTCACCCAAAACTCAGTATACCGCGAGCTACAGCTCGCGGTATACTGAGACTCCGCAGCCGGGACAGACCTCGACATTACTGTTGAGATCCACCCAGCTGCGTGATTGACAGCTGGCTCTGCCTATCTAGAGGCAGAGCCAGCTGTACCCGCCCCCTCCCCCGTTCGTTCCACCAGTCAACGCCGAAGGATCGGACAGGGGAGGGGGGGAATCCCTGGCAGGGGAGAGGGGGAATCCCTGCAGGGAGTCGTGAGCGACAGTCACGGCTCTCTGCAGGGATAGGTCGAGAAGTGAGCGAGTGACGGTATGTGTTCGCTCACTTCCCGATCTATAGAGCCGACCTGTGACAGTTGCATTGTCACAGGTCGGCTAGAACTATAAGGCTGAGTGATTTTCACTCGCCTCATAGTTCTCCTTCAAGTCTTCACTAAAGCTAGCCATGCATCACAAAAACCAACCCAAAGGCCAACATTTAACCAGTTTGTCATCCAAACAGAACATCTCTATTGTATGGGCCCACAGCAGAAAAATAAAACATAAAATGAGCATCCCTCCCTGCTCTTCAAAATCCCAGCAGATATTGATCAGACACCATAATCTTCTTGTGCATGAATATTAGAGTTTGCACTCACCACTGAAAGCCTTAGTAAATCTAAGTATCTTAATGACCCTACAAGCAGTAGCCTATGTTCACTAAAATAAATCCTTGCATTTTATGGTTGGCCATTGTTGACAGGTCGAATTATGTTTGTTTACTGGGGGATATTCATAATCACTAGTACAGTTTACTAAGTCATAAAATACCGGTCTTACTTTGAATGTCCTCTGGTGCCCAGTCTTCTTGTGGTCAGAAGAGGAAACTTCTGTCGAATCGTCTAAAAACATATATACATACATTAGACTAATAATAAATAATAAAATGTTATGTTCTAAATGAAAGGTACAGTACTGCTCTATTTCAAACAGTTCTCCAGTAAACAGTGCAGTTATGCAATAAAGACTTTGCTGTATAGTTGTATTGCAGCAGTGCTAATGTTCAAATATCAAGATAACAGTTGCATCCCAAAATCCAAAGCCAATTCTTTCTCACTTTATTCAGTAAGGTCTTCTCTTTTTCCCCTGCACACTTCTCTCACTTTTCTTTTCATAGCTTAATCTTTCTAACTTTCCTTCCCCTGTTAACTGCTACTTCTAACAGTCTTTTATTCTTCTCTTTCAGTCATAGTACAGTACTCTAAAGCTTAAAGCCCAGCTCTGGGCACAATTAACGTAAACGCTGTATAGCAGACAAACATTCCTGTTCCTCAAAAACCAATTGCCATCAAGTAGACATACTTCTATATTCTGTAAATCAGTTAATTTTCTTGCCGGGATTATTACAGCTCCCACTATACTTCCTGCTCGCTCTGGATGTAAGCATTACAGGTCTCATACACCCCAGAAGATCAACAGGTATTTTTTATACTCACTGTAATCTTTGGTGCCATGCTAAGATCATGCTGCTGTGAACATACCAGTCGTGGGTGCTTGTATTCTTTGGGACCTGTTACTACCTCACAGGTCAGTGCAATGTAATGCAGCTGCACATCCCTGTTTCCAGAAGCTAAAATAACATTTATTGTTCTAGCAATGGAACAATAAAAAAACACAGCACCTCTCACCAACACGTTTCACCCCCTACTGGAACTTAATTATAGAACTACATTTAGAGGGGCTAAAAGGAAAAAATCTAACCCTGTATGGATAGCCTTAAAAACAGGGTTAAATGTCATTTTTTAATGTATCCTCCTCAACTGGGCAGCGTTCCTTACCCATTTACTTTATATTATTACGTTTACTAATTGACAGGTGCACTTTAACGGTCTACGGTAAAGCACATGCATTGTTTTAGTGTGTTGCAGTACCATTAAAAACAAATGTGAGCATTACTGATAGGTGTGGATGGGCCCGTAATGTATTCGACTGTGCCATCAACTGCAAATTGCCACATGTATGGCCCCCTTTCTTCATGCTAATTTCTAGCAAAATTAAGAGGGATTTGCATAGACAACACATTATTCTAAATGTTTGTTTCAGGAGATCAGATAATCTTCATCTTAGTAATCATGGTGGCTTTAGAAACTAATACATAACCTGTTAACATGCTAGATTTAGAGGTTTATTTTTATTTGTCATTGCAAAGAAAGGTTTTTGTGTAAAGCAGTTTTCTCAGATAAAGAAGATTTTCCTCAATTGGTAAAACAATACCATAATACTAATTTAATGAATAGTGATTTGTTTTCCCCACACAGCCCATATTACATATTAGTTTCCTAATACTGATTTTCCATGTCTGGACAGTTGTTTCAAAGGCCTTTCCTTTGGCTTCACCACCATCAATATTTCTAAGGTTTCACAATCTAAAGTAAACTTGCAAGTGGTTATACATGGAGATTAAAATGTTTAAATATATTTTCTTCCGTAGTCCTCAAATTATAAAGTACTGTTAACCTGGCTGATTTTCAGTTTAGGAATGACTAGTCTATAATCTAACAGATAACTTGAGGGAGGCCAACAATGTACAGATAAGTTTACACAATCCAAGTAAACACTTTATTCAACATCAGTTAGCAAAACACATGATAAATGATAGATGGTTGTGAAAGTTATAGGGTAACATCACTATCAAATAGTGTATTTTTGATCTACAACAAGTCAAATTGTTCATATACAAAACTAGAGACAGCGTACAAATGGCACAATCATGTAGGTGTCTCCCTCTGTATAAGAAAGAGGGAAATTCTCATGTAGAAAGCTAGTAGGAGACAAGCCTTGCCTGGAAGTGGCAACAGTGCATGTGCAGTACCTTGAGCTTTTACTTTGCTTCATGGCAGAGAAAAGTCTGGTCCCTCCTTTAATAGCAAATGTCCCTTACTGCCTTACACACTTCTTATTAGTACAGTATCTTGGAGTTTAGAAGCTGCTCAGAAATTGTAAGTAATTCTTGAAATCAGAAGCATTGACTGTAATGATCAGGCAATCCACAACCACCAATGTTCATATTTAAGCTACTGATGCATGCTACACTATGCTAGTTATAGGGGGAAAATGGAAACTATCCAAATGCTCTGAACAGCACATTAATGGACTCTGAAAGTGATTATGGACCATCAGAAGATACTTTCGGACCCGAATCCCAAAAAACAAAATATAACGCAAAATCCGAAGTTTATTGGGGGTGAATCCTAATGCTAAATTCTGCCCATTTTCAAGACTTATGGGCAAGCTATTGTAAAAAAAAACACATGGGGAGTTGTGAACTGCCATGGAAAGACATTTAACGAAGCAGAAAAAAATGTTACAATACCATACTGCAGGAAGAGAATGCTTTTAATAAAACTTAAAGGGTGACGTGAAAAAACACCAATTATTTAAATTTCAGGCATGGGAGATGCCTTTAAGCTGTATATAGTATTATGAAACAGTAGGATTTCCACTCCATCAGTGACACCATAATCCCGCTATGTGTAATAGATTTTTTTAACTTGTACATTACAACTTGAAAAAAGGCTTTTTAGGTAATAGGCCTGAATTCACCAGTGGAAGTAGCAGCCACAACAGATCTAAAAGCTATAGGAAAGTTTACTCTTAAAAAAAAGCTAAAGCGCTCAACTTAGTACAAATTAGCCAGTGGCAAAAATGTTTAATAGTACAAGTTGTGTGCTTTTTTCACAGTACCCCACTGTACTGTCAAAAAGTTCAATAAAATGTCAAAAAGTTCAAAACGAGTGCACAAAAACACTTCAAAACCACAATTCCACATTCCGCAAACTCCATCATCCCTGTATCACTAATCATTCCCAATATATTAAGAATATAGGCTTCAGGCATGTGTCTGGAAGACATTGTATACTGTCAGGACAGTAAGGGAACACTTGAACAGACAGCAAAAAGAAAGAGACAAGGCATGAAACCGTTTACCTCATAACGGTTGCACGCCTTCTTGAACTCTCTTCAAAGTTCTTTTCAACTTGCAGGGCATCTAGCACAAGTTTTTTGGCGTAGACTGTTATTGTTTTCTTTTTCAAAGGCTGCAGTGATGGTTTACAAAAAAGGCAGCTCTTGAATTGACTGCTAAAGAAAAGAAGAGGGGCTGCTACACCGTGGTAAACATGGCCCTGTCCCAACTTTTTTGAGGCCGTGTTGCTGCAATCAATTTCAAAATGACCCTATTTTTTCTTAAAATGGTACATCTTCTCAATTTAAACATTTGATATGATTTCTATTTTCTAGTGTGAAAAAAATATGGCTTAATGAGATTTGCACATCATTGCATTCTGTTTTTATGTAGATTTTACACAGCCTTTTGTGGAATTGGGGTTGTAGTTCCTTTTTGGACCACTTTCATATTGTGTTGCCATGGCTGCAACAAATTCAAAAAGGATAATCGGCAGTTCATAGATAATGTAACTGGAGTTAATTAAGACCAAATATAAGTTGGCAAACAGAGGTAGGCATGTAAACATGCCCTGCTCTTTACTACACAGTAGGGCCTCTGTGTAGTAAAAACCAGGAGATGTTTATGCTTGGAAGCTGTCATGAATGTGTCAGCTTTCTGCTCAGGGCTGGTTGGTTGCTGGGACACCAATGGTCACTAGTATCCTAGTGGACACAGTGAGCACTAGTGTTCTGGCACAAGCATTTACTCATCCCCTGCCCCATTCAGCTGCCTGCTGAGATATTTCACGCAGCTGAATGTAAACAAAGAGGCTGGGAATGCTGGCTGACAGCATTACCCAAACATGACTATGGAATCTGTCCACTGCCATCCACTGAATCGCAATTTAAGTGAACTTGATGGAAAACTAGTTCCACCTTCCTTGTGCTAGCATCTATGGAAATTGCCCACTGCCGTCAGTGGCAGACCAGGTGGGGAACTCCGAGAAACAAGTTCCCCTATTAGGTCCATCAGCAGACAGCATGGGTGTTACTGAGCTGCACTGAGGACAGAACTGTCCACTATGGCCAGCCTCCATACACAAAATCATGTACCTGGTTCTAACACAACATGATATCATTTGAGAAAAAAATACTAAATATACTACTTAGGCACAATTACCAAGTCTATATGCTCCGTGTAACATAGCATATCTTAACCTTTTGAATTCAGAACCACTTTAACCGCAAACAATCATCTCTATCACCCATTTCAAAGGGTGATGTTAAGAGACCATTCACGCAATAGCGTTGTGTTAATCATGTGATACCGTGCGATCAATGCACGCTAGCACACAGCACACCTAGCATGTGTTGCCATGCATTTGGTGCATTGCCATTCGTTTTAATGGCACCCCAATGCAGCTCTCGGCCACAGTGTGTTGCAGTGTAACGTGTGGTACAGCAATACTGTGCGTTGCAATGCAGTGAAATGTAGTGCATGCAACTAATGATGCCCAGTAGGTGCATTGGGGTGCCATCAGAAAGTTGGATCGAAGCTGTATGTCATAATATTATAAGATTTTTCCATGTTTATCCTTTTTTAATTGTTTTAATAAAAGTATACATTTGCATATTAGCTACGCAAAGTGGCAGGCAGCTGCAAATAGAGAGGGAAAATCTTACGAGGGAAGGACAGACAGCAGCCAAAACTAAGGAGGTTATTCAGTAAAGAACCGAAGGATATAGCCGTTGCTTCAGCTAATTCTTCAACTCACTTTGGCCACCGGAGCCCTTCGGTTCAGCAGAACCGAAGGGCTGCTGTATGGGCTATTCACAATAGCCCGTACAGCAGCCGAAGGCAGCTGAGCCGAACGCATATGAGCCCAGAGGCTGCCCCCCCTTTTGAATGAGTAAGGGGTACTGGTACCCCTACTCATTCACTAAAAGGGTTAAAGTA